GGTAGGAGAAATATTTGAAATTAGAAACTATACTGGGAAGCCGCAGTTCATAACTTTCTGAAAGAGAAGAAAGAAAAAGTAAATTAATATATTAATATATTATACCACGCCGCCGTTCGTCAGGCATAAGGGCAGCTAGTTCACGCACTCCTCGACCCATTTCAGGCATATTCGATCCGATGGTCGCTATTGCCGTGCCAACTTTCGAATCCACTTCGTCTGCAACTGCTGTCAGTTGTACAACCTGTGCTGTGGCAGCGCCCATCTGTGCCAACTGGTCACCAACCTGAATAAGTTTTTGTTACTGTTTTAATTTATTTTAGAGCATAAACTGATATATCTCGATTTTCTATCCAATCTGACTGAATAGAAAGGCTGCTTAAATAAATTCTCAAACAAAAGTGGAAGTGTTGTGAAGTATTGCTCAGTTTTGAATGAGCTTAAACCACAAAAAATATTAGTTAATCGTTAATTATACATTCGTTTATAAGTACCACGATGCCTTTGAAATATACTATCTTTTACTGTTCTCTAAGTTTGCTTATTTTAAAACAACTTAGCGCCAACGTTAATCACCAAATTTTATTTTTGAAATTGCGTAGTTGCATTTTATTTTCAGTATATAATCAGAATTCTATTAACTGATTGAAATGACATTTAATATTGACATATTCTCCGGAAAACAATTCTTATGTTTGGCATAAATAAGCTGATTTTGTATTATGAAATTAAATTTATGAATAGAAACCCAGATCTATGGGCTGAAAATTTGTTCAATGATGAATTAAAAAACAAACAGTATATTAAAAAAAAGATTGCGATGAATGTTTCAGTTGAAAATGGAAAATGAACAAAAGTTTATAAAAAAGGACAAATGAGAACTCAGCACACAAGTTTTTTATGAGTTTGTACACTATGAACAGGCAAAACTGAATGAGCGAAAAAATCCTGCTTGTTTCCAAACAACTGGATGAAATGTAAATTTAAAAAAATTGAAAAGTAGAATGTTTGAGAATACTAAAAAAGACAGATTTTGGAAATCAAAACGACAAACAAAAACTACCTTTTGTTTTTCGACCTCCACTTTAGTTTCAATCCAACGTCGTGAAGTAGGATCATCACTAAACCGTGGTATCTGGATCTCTACTGGCTTCTTCATTTCTTCTTCCGCAGCTTCAACAGCACGTATTGATGCTTCAATTGTACCAGTTAGGGCTCGTTGAGCGCGTTCTTGTGAATCGATTATACGTGGGCGTTGACCCTGTAATGTTTTTTATTTTCTTTTTGATAAAATCTTAACATAAAAAAAATCGGTGTCAATCTCTGCCAGTATTTGAGAACTACTTTCCAAAATCTTAAGAAAATACGGATTTCACATTTAGTTGATTTTAGCCAATAGCATTCATTTATACTTATGTTCCTTACTTTCGCAAGCTGTTGTTGAAGGATCTGCCCGCTTACAGCACCATACTGTGCGCCATTCAGAATTCCCCTCTGTCCAGGTATTAAACCACTAGGAGTTCGTAAAACACCTGGAATAGCAACACTGCCTTCGTGTGCAAATCCTTCACCAATTTGCCCATGTGCAACCAGTGTAGCACGTGCCGGCGCTACAATATCTTCCAACATCGTTGAACCTTCATCACCCTGAAGAACTTCAAACAACTCACCTTACACAAATTTGCTGAATTTATTAAAATCATTTACTGGAACTGCCACTAAATGAATTTTACAAATCTGCAGAAGCTAAATGAACAAAGATATTCAAATGTGGACAAAGCATCCGAAACGTTAATATGGAAAAGCAAATTTCTTCAATGAAAGTAACGAAAATGAATAAAGTAAACCTCAATGCCAATGTGGTCACAAGTTCGTTTCTTCCTCAAAATAATATCAATGTAACCAGCAATCAGCTGCGCAATTTTTTCACCATCAGCCGTTTGTACAGAATAATAACCATCTTGATAATCACCGAAATCCTTAAATTTTTAACCGATTCTATTCTGTTATAAGTTCAACTGAAGAAAACTGTTGAAGGTCCAACATTCATTTTTATGATAGGAAATAATTCAACTTTTTATAACGTTCCTTGTAATAAACTGAATGAAAGAAATCGATATTCTATTCGGATTCTTACCAATGTAAATGTTTTAGGCGAGGCAGCCCATCGTCTTACTTGTTCCAGTGGCCATTCCTGGAGCACTTCCTTGGTTTTCTCGTCCATCCTCATCACACATTCTTTATTTACGCCCAACAACCGTGGTACCAATTTGTTTTTACCCTTCATTTTCTCCTTCACCACAAAGAATGTTACGCCATAAGTAAGCAAAGAACGACATAAATGAACATATTTGCTCTTCGCATCAAGTTCACTTTTTCCAGCTAATTCACGATAAGCATCCATTACACGCTTTTCGTTATCTCTCGACTTTATGTATTCCTTCGGTAAGATTTCGCGAAGGCTGTAACTATAGTGATAAGTAACTTATAATTAAGAACCGCAAAACGAGGAAATTATTTGAAAGGTAAAATGAAACCATAACTAACTCTAAAAAATTAGCTCGCTGTCGATGCTCCTGAAGATCACCGTACTGTATTTGACACTGCAAAGCCGCTAAGTTACAAGCCATATCGCGTGGGACGGGATGATTTCCTTGCAAAACACCCATTTTACACTGCTCATAGAGTAGGTTCAGCTGCACAGGGTCGCGACAATCGACATTCGTGTCGGAAAAAAAGAACTTCCGACGCAAGACCAGAGTCTCGTCATTGGCTACCTAAAAATTACACTCTCTGAATAATTGAGAATCAGGACCTTTCTTTCCATAGAACTGCATATGCAACAGAACTCTAAATCTCAAATTTAATTTTAACAAGCCTGTGGTATACCAACCGACTGTTCACGCAGAGTTTTACCATGATCAAGCCATAGCAACTCTTCATCAGTATGCAGTTTAGCTCGAAGTTGTTCCATTTTTTTTTCTTTATTTCGTCCAAGAGTGCCGAAACCGAGAACTCGCTCCTCGCTTTTTCCTCTCCTTTCTTCCTTTAGTGTAAGTGTTGAACGCCAATCCTGATCCAACGACTGACGCACCTGAAACTCATTATGTAGAAGAATCCCCATCAACAACAAAGTTTTTTCACTTGTTCAAATAAATTTCGCATTCGATTCCACAGTTTTAATTATGTGCATTAATTTTGTCTAAAAATAGCGTTAGTCGAACAAATTATATAAAGATATCAAAGGAGTTTCTGCTAACCATAGAATATTCTTCATGATTGCTAATACCAATTTTTGAGCACACAACGACCATGATTTCACCCACTGGCTGACTTTCATCCACCATTACTGTTTTCACAGCACCGTCCAACATTCTTACTTTTAGCGGCCGAATTTTCTTTTTATATTCAACTGTGTCCTAAATAATCCGTTTTATCATTACCCATGGTTAAGAATTTCCTTGCATGAGCACCGAATAATTTGAGTGCTGCCAATTATGAAGGTTCTAAGGTAGCTTACTCCGCTGCGAACTAAATAATATTCTAAAGTTCGACCATTTTCCATCCAAACACATTTCGTTGGGTCTTCTTCGAGTCGAAACAGACCATATTCCTTAGCTGGAAATCGGTATAGATATATGAAAATACTGGATTACAGATTCAATATGAGATAACTGAGGAAACACCTATTCTTGTTGAACCATTATTTATAAGAACAGATTCTCAAATTTTCAATAGTGTGACTGAAAGAGAAATGAGGAAAGGCTGATGATAATAAAATACAAATCTTTGGCTGAAAAGAAAAACTAACGGTTAATATTATTTCCAGACAATTTTTCCCGTATAATTTTACATGCATCGAAAACGAGAGTAGTCGATTCGAACTGCATCGCTTTCTTCAGTTGAGACTGCTCGTCTCCTTGCGGTGACCAAACTACGTTTAACGTTATCACACCCATCGTTCCCGCTTAAATCTTATTTTTGCTTCTTTTATACAAACGGCCCACAGTTGTTGCTGTCCAGCAACCTCGATGTCTGCAAGTGAAAAGTACTTAGACCGATGCTGCTATAAGACATACGTAGACAAGATTAACACGACACCGTGTGGGAATTCTTTGGCCTATTTTGCAAGTCTAATATCTATCTGTAACAAATAACACATTTTTTCATGACATATTTCAATAAGTTTCAGTTTTGTTTTATTTGTATTTCACAAATTCCTGCATATTTCTGATTTTAAAATGACCTAACTATTAAAGTATGAATGACACAAACGTATAAAATCATTTCCTTTTCATTATTTCCCAAAAATCAACAGTTATATTGATAATCTGATCAGGAAGTCAAAAAACACAACAAACACATAGCATCAGCAAAAGTGACAAATCTTCAGAGCAAGAGAAAGCGGATACAAGGCGCCGGTGTGATGAAGTGATGAATCATCACTGACAACTGATTTCACTTCTTAGAAATAATATCATTTAGGAAAGCCATTGTATGGTCCATATAGCAAATTTGATATCTGTTTGCCAGCTTCGATCAGTATCAACCAGATCTAACCATATTACTATATCGAAACGATTTTAACTTTGAACCAAATATATAAAAATTCATTTCTCATTTCTACAAGCTACCTATTCTTTAGTATGCTGTAATCGATCGAGTAAATAAGTTTCGATCAAGTTTAGCCGTCAAACCACAAGATGATGATTTTGGAGCCACAAGATGATTTTGGCCTATTTCATAGCAAAATTCCCTACATTATTCATTTATTTTAAACAGTTCGCAATGTTTATATTTGCGAAGATATGATGTATAGCGGAAGATATAAAAATATTGCTATATCGATGGTTGTGCACGGATAATAAATTGCATGAACTTATCGATAGGTTTAATGACAGGATAGCAAATAGATGAAGTAATGAATCGTGGTAACAAAAGCTGCTACAATATGAGATAAAAGGAAATATTAAAATTATAAAGAATTGAGGAAAAACCTGATGAACAGCGCCAGCGGCGTGAAAATGCGCGAAGATACACGGAGAGGCTCTGACATTACCCACAGCACAGGTATTCGAGTTATATTCTCTCTGGTCAGGTCATTTGTATAAAACATATACTATTAATGCATTCATAAGAATTTTCATGCATAACTACCGATGGAAAAAGCTGAAGAATGGGAAAATCAAATGGTACTGCCATAAAAAACCAATATGCCAATCTGACAACAATAGAGAAGCGTATGTGAACGCGAATCTTTCGTATATTAGCTCTATACATTAGCATAATACGTGAGACGAACATACGTAAGACATATTCGTAAAGACGGCAGCCCATCTTGAGAGATTACGTAGGTGGGAACACGTTAACCGAATCAAACGCCCCCACAAAACGCTCGCTTTCACTTCTTTCCAGATGGCCATTGCACGCGCTACGAAATTATCCTATCCTATCTTGCCTTATCTCTTACTTTTATCAAATACGTTCTTGCCTCTTCAACTCACTCACAACAGAAACTTGAGCTATTCCGCATTGTACGAATTGCTTACGAACTGAGAATTAGGTGCAAGCAGACAATTAGAAACACACTAAGATAAACGCCTACGAGGAAGTGTGTAAGGTGATAAAGAACTTGCAGACCTGCTATTTTAACAATGACAACAAGTTTTAAAGAGCAAGGAAAGGATGAAGGGGTGGTATAGCTATGCTTTATGGACAGATTTATGGGAGAATTTTCGATACGAATGTTAGCAAATATTAATCACTGATAAGCTTAGGTAAAGTTGGTAAGGCCATAAGTCATTAACGTAATATAGCCTGAATAGATTGATAGTTATATAAATCTCATACTAATATTAATATTGATCTCAACACAGCTGCAATCAATATGGAATGAAAGATTTTATTTGATAATGAATAATTATTTACAGGCAACGAATAGATATGGGGGGGAAGAAATAACAATAGTGAAAGGTTGAAAATTGTAACATTTCGGATGAATGAATGAAATGAAATGGTAAATGTTGTAAGATTACGTGGAAAATGATCGATAGTATCAGTCTCAGTTATTTTGTGAGCGGATCCGCTCATTTTACTATTGCTACAACTTGGTAGTGATGTTGATTGTTGCTATTACTGCTACTGCTGATACTAATGCTAATGCTAATGCTAATGCTATTGCTAGATGTTAGATGCTATCCTATCGTCCAGTAGCTAGCGGGATAGCGGTGAATTAAAGCTCTGGTTATGCTATTTGTAATTTCGTAGAAGAGGGGAGGAGTGTAAAATGTATGATTGATTCTCATTGAGAGAGAATGATGATATCCTCTTAGCTTAGAATTATTTTTGACTTGAGCTGCTGCAAAGCTTTCTTGTCTTTTCTATTCCAACAAGAAAATTGAAGGGACAAAATGAAATGGACAGGCAATGAGGCAGCAAACGGATACTGATTATCTACACAATTACGTTTCTTTTTCTTTGATGTTTAAAATGAAGCAACAGAACATTTTTTTTTTGATTCTTTATGCTAATTATCCATCTAAAAATTGCTAATGATGCATCGGGGATTGCTATTATTGATCCATCCATCCACCCCACATTAATTCACTTTCTAAGGCATTTTTAAATTTTAAAAATTTTGGATAGCATTTTGGAATACAACCGAAAGATAATGTTTTTTTGAGATTTTAGTTATAGATCTATTTTAAAAGTATTTGTGTGTAAAAATTTAAATTAAAAAAATGTATTGAATATTTTCCACTTTATAAGAAATCGAAGGGGAAGTTATAAATTATATATCAGCAATTAATGGAAATGATCTAATTGCTTTGTTTCATCTTAATTTAAGAAAGAATTCAACTGATATCATCAAATTTTAATTCGAAAAGAAATGCTACAATTTTATTTTTGTAAATCTGTTTAATGAAACATTTGTTCAAGCGCTAATGTTTGTAATCAGAAATGAGTGATATTTTTCTTATAAATTTAATAAGATAGATTTGTTAAGGTCAATAATGATAAAATGGATATCATCCATTTTATCATTATTGACCTTTTTTTACAAACCGTCCGGAATGATCTAACAACCAGTTGATGGTGGGAATGAATATAGCACCTCATGCATGCTTGCAAACAAATGAAATATCATAATTAAATTTACTATCAACTATAATTTATTGCCTGACATGCAATCCATCAAAAATTCATCATTTCATAGAATACTTAAATAATAATATTAATAACAATGATATTAATAACAATAATAATAGCAATAATAATAATAATAATAATAATAATAATAATAATAATAATAATAATAATAATAATAATAATAATAATAATAGTAACAAAAATAAATTTATTAAATGATGTTAAGAATAAGAAATGATTACCGTGAAATTTAAAAATGATAGTGAAAGAGAGCAAAAGAGGAAGCTAGGCTGTTTGCTGAGAGTAACCATTAACTTTGTGCAATTTTACGACAAAGCTTGCCTTTGTACTTAGAATAATAAGCATTTCGATTGTTGAATAGATCCAGTCCTCCCACACCCACGTCAATTTAGAAATTTGGGCCCTTGGTGCCCCAAAACAACTACTACTACTATTACTACTACTACTACTACTACTGCTATTGACATACAGGCTTATTATGTTTCCACATGTCAGAATGCCTCGATAATAGAAAGGCTATAATTTCTTAAATTTAACAAAATAATTTCACTTACAGCATGTTATTTCTTCGTTTGACGGTTTTTATGATATCATCTGATGCATTGTATAAGAGTTTATCACATCTGAAGGCTTACAACAATATCAGAACAGTTTGGAGATCGGATCATAATTAGTTAATGATTACGATTTGAACTCCAACTTTTGCTTTTGTCTTTTTCGAAACTTTAAGTTAAAACTTACAAAAAAGAACTAAAAGAAATGAAAGAATTGGAAGGAGAGATCCTCTATGGGTTCTTGCAATTTTAAAATTTAAATATTAAAAGTCCCGGCACAGCTTAATACAATTAGCTCTTACCAATTGAAAAGCGAGCTTAAAACCTATTTATAAGCTCGCAAATAATTAAGAGCAACTTTTTATTTGCCGAAAAAATTATCGGTTATATGAATCATCTGTTGAGAATTTTTATGCGACGATAAATGAATCAATCGTTTATCCATTTCATAAATAAATTTTTTCAAAATTAATAAACAAAAGACATGAAGAGATGGAAATAAGCTGCATAAGAAGTGAACAGTCGAGAGGATATATTAGTCTAATTGTTTTAACGAATTAATTTTCTCCTAATAGATAAAATTTGGAAAATTAAATTAAATATAAAATTATAGCAGAAGTTGAATTAATAAGTATTAATTACTTTTTTACAGTAATTCAAATGTTTTCTAATTAACCTTTAAATAAATTTTTGGCTTAATTTTAGGCTTTACTAAATCAAAATTAAATTTTTTGAAATAAATATTTGTAAAAATACAAACCTTTTTTGTTTGTGAATTTTCCTCAATTTAATCAAAACATTTGCATAGAATAGATGGAAGGAGTGATGAAGAGAATATGAACAACATCAAATTCCGATTTTCCATCTAATAAGAGCTCGTTTAGAATGTAGTAGTAGTGAAGATGGAGACACCTTCAAGTCTCTGGATCAATTTGGAGGAGAAGCAATCAGAACTAAGCCTAGGATTTGAGTCCAAAATTCGTCGATTACTCTCTAGAGACTAAACATCCTAACTTCTCTTATATTTGATAGAGCGTTCACTGATTGTTAGCTATCGATCTTTCTCTCCTCATTCGGATATTTAGAAGGTTAAACAATATAACATTTTCATATATTATCCCTTAAAAATTTGTTGAAAAATTAATCATTTCATTTTCTCTTCTTATTTAATTTTAATTTTCGTTAATTTTGTTAAAATGAAATTTTAAAATTTTCATTTATATAAAATGAATAATGGCAAAATATAGAAACACATATTTTCACACAAAGATAAAAATGTATTTTTGCTATTTGAAGTGATACTGTCTAAATTATTAATAAATAATTTAAAACTGTCAATAAATAATTTATCCGAGTAATTAAATTATTTGATTAAGAGGCAAAATGCAACCTATTTTACTAAATGAATTATTATTGTAAAAATCATTTTAGAATATTTATTTATTATCATATTCAAGTATACTCTCATCTGATCAAATTTAACTCCAATTAAAAAAATTTAATTGAACTCTAACCCATCTACTAAATGATTATTAAAATGAAAACGCCTTAAATAGGCATTTTTTTTATCAGTGATCAGAATAGTTAAAAATTCGAATAGCCTTTTTTGGAATAAGATGAGAGGATGAAATAATGAAAGAGATGGATATGGTTTAGCAGCAGTATCAACTGATGCTATCTGTTCGAATTGAATATCAAAATGTTGTCTTTTTTTTTAGTAAATTTTTAATTCCCCCGAGAATTCCCTTTAATTCATCCGTTTCTAAACTGTTTGATCAATGGTTTCTAAAGTGTTAAAACTCATTCCAATCCTCTTTTTCCCTTTTTTTTGACACAAACATGGGAATTTCAACTATTTCTATAGCATAATAGCAAAACTAAAAATATATCATTGATTGCATTCCTTTCAATTCTAAAATAGTAATTTGAATAAATTTATTGTTGTGAAATATTTGAAATGAATTTCATATATTTTAATTTGAAATTATTTAATTATTTATTGATCTATTTATCAAATTATTTATTGATCGTTCGATATAAATTATTTACTGATCACTTTTTAAATATCCGAAAATTTTTATTAAATTATATTTTTCAGAGATTGATTTAAGAAATTGAAAAAAGTGATTATGATTTAATATTATAGTGATAATTTCTGTTTTCCAAATCATTTTATCAAACATCGAACTGATAATTTATTATCAATCGTGGAATTGATGTTATCTTCTTGTATTCATATTAAATTAATGAATGCAACATATTATCTGTTGTCGTTTGTAATTATAATAATTCTAAAAATTATTAAAAGAAAGAAAGATAGCAGAAAATTGAAAATAGTTGTTTGGTTGAAATCATTTTGACTTATACTACGAAATGTTTATTTCGCCTTTCGTTGTCGTATTTTATATGATGAAAAGAATAAGCAATGAGTAAGGGAGCAAATTTATTGGAAATTTTTGATTATTTGATTCTCTCGAAGTCGACTAACTGAATAAATCATTTCTGTTAAATTTTCGACGATAAGTCACAAAATGAAATTTATGCAAATCACAATTGTATTTGTTTACTACTTCATTTTTCATCAGAATGATAAATAGGAATTAATTAAATAGGTTGGAATTAATTAAATTAAATTAAGTACTTTATTCTTTCTCACTTCACTATACCCAAAAACTGCATTTCTTCCTATCTTTCACTTTCATCTTTTAAAAAATGTTTCGTTAAAAGTGAAAAAAACGTGTTTTTCTTTTTTTGGTAAATTATGATTTCATTCGAAAAAAACTTTTCAAACTTTTATCATTTTATCTTATCTTATATAGAATGAATATTTCCGTAATGCTATCAGGATTCTGATTAATTTTCAGATTGAAACTGTTACATTTCAACTGGAATAACATAAAAAATTAAATGTCGGATACAGTAGTTGATGTTCTTTTTGTTTCTTTTCACAGGTAAATGTTAATAAATTTTCACCTGTCGATTGCTATTTTTACAAAATTACGCTTTCAACTTCTTCTTATCCTTTAAACATAAATTACCGAAATATTTAAGGAAAAAAGATAATGCGAAAATGGGAAAACCTACGTAATGGCTGAATGAATAAGTTAGGTGATGCGTGAAAGGGAGATACGTGATACGTGAATTTGGAAGAAAGAAATACGTGAACTTACGTTCTCATGTAATTATGAAATCAGTCGAATAATAGCAGTAGTATGAAATTTTTGTTTGAAACAATGAGCTAAATAATTAAACCAAATATTTTAAATTTTAAATCTTTTTTTATTTGGCTCACTTTCAATTAAAAGATCTGTTTAGTAATGAATAAACAGCCATCATTTCCAATTTATTGTTTTATGAATATTAATGATGTAAAGATTAAATTCGAATTATTAATTAAAAGAAAGAAAAATTATTATTTTCCTAACAAATGTCTAATTCAATTTTAAATTGAACAAACAATGAAAAGACTGGAAGATGAAATTGTTTTGTTTACTTTTCAAATTTTTACAATTCTTTCAAGTTTTCATTTCGAAAATTTACACCATTCGAACATTGATCAAAGATCATCAAGAAAATGCATGAAAATGATAATATTTTGAGCATATCATTTATAATGTACCTTATTTTTCTAAAATTCGTTTGAATGACAAATTATTGAATTTTACAGGTAATTAAGAAGTTACCATAATGTATACATGAGGTTTTAACTGTTAAAAATTTCTATTAGATACTAAAGCAATGTAATGAACCATCCTTTTTTTAAAGCAATCTTATTTCGATATTCTTTTATCAAAATTTTTCAACATTTTCATTTCTAACATACAATATGCGCTAATATGTAATATGCGCTTTTTGATGGTCAAAAATGAAGCATTACTTCAGCATCATCGTATTACAGTACAATATTTGAAAAGACAGAAGAAAAATTAGTCAACTGGGCTATTTCAAGCTCGTCCATAATAGGGCCAATAAGCATATGGATTATATGAAAGTGTTTGAAGTTGTTGCTCTTTGTATGGCTGATTTTGACTGTCAATAAAAACTCGTTTTGCTGTTTTATTAGCCTGAAAAATTTTATGAAATAATAATAAGAATGAAATGAAGGATAATTTAAAATACAAATATTTAATTTAATAATTATGTAATGTTATTGATGGAAAGGAATTTTCTGATTAATAATAAATTTTAATTAGTGACAGATTTTTTTTTTTTTTTGAAAAATTAATTAAAGAAATTTTTTTAATTTAAATAAACTTAAATGAAATGAAATGAATAAGAATGATCGTTACACACACATACACACACACACACACATACACACACATACACACATACATACATACATATTCCTTTTCCATTCCTCCTCTTCATATCATTCCTCTTTCATTCAATGGTATAAATTAAAAGTGAAAACAAGTTTTGAAATATACAACGAGAAAAAGGAAAATTTTTCAATGACTGATCATTATCAGGTTTTTTTAAAAAACCCGAAGGTATTCTCTTATCAATTTTTTTAACATAGCATATTTGTGTGTAAAAAAAATAAGCATTTCATTGAAATAAAATGGGCAAAAGTTATTTTCAAATTTGAAAATGATCATTTAAACTATTAAACTATTTAAATTCTAAAAAAGCTGATGATAGCTTACAACACTACTCTATTCATTAGATAAGCAAATTCTGATAATGATTATGTTAATTTTTGTAGACTATTATTTGCCTGATGATAGCTTACAACACTACTCTATTCATTAGATAAGCAAATTCTGATAATGATTATGTTAATTTTTGTAGACTATTATTTGCCTGATGATAGCTTACAACACTACTCTATTCATTAGATAAGCAAATTCTGATAATGATTATGTTAATTTTTGTAGACTATTATTTGCCTGATGATAGCTTACAACACTACTCTATTCATTAGATAAGCAAATTCTGATAATGATTATGTTAATTTTTGTAGACTATTATTTGCCTTTCTCATATCACATTTACTAATCTTCCATTCAAACACATACTATAACTGATAAGTTGATAGTATTTCAAAACTTCAATGCCTAAAACTGTTTAAAAATTTTTTTCATATAAACCTTTGTTGCAATAAAACACTGATTGATTTCGTCCTGATAATTTAAATCAGAAAAAAACTGGCATACAGAATTTTTCCGACCCGTTATATTTATATAGGTAACCTTTGAGAAGGGTCACAAAAGTAATACCAGAAATTTATTCATTTCTCTTCTCTCCTCATTAAGCACATGATAAGTGATAAGAAATATCCAAAAGTATGTTTGGATATATGAAAAACTGATTAAATGTAAATTTTAAAAAACTGTAAAAATTTTAAATGCATAATTAATCTATTTTATAATTTATAACAATTTGAAAATTCAAATTGTTGTGAATTCATGGAATATTGTATTTACGTAAGACATATTGTAATGTCTTAATGTAACATTTTTAGGTAAAATAAAATTTGGAAAAAAAAAGGGAAGAGAAGAAATGTATTAATGACTAAGGTGCTTTTAGGTTTGGTAAGATGTTCCACATTTGTGTTCATTTGTTGTCCCATTTCTCCTTTTAGAAGGTAAATGAAAATATGGATGGATGGATAGATGAAAGGATCAATTCTTCCTGCTATATATGAAATAAGAACTTGCCAGGTGTTGGCAAAAAAATATTTGCGATAGCTAATATAATCAAACATAAAATGAGAATGGTAGAATTTTAAAAATTCCTACAAAAATAATAGCAAAAAAAGAAAATGTAATTTAAAAGTAACGATGTTTGAAATTTGAAAATTTTCCTGAATATATTTTTTCAATTATTATAGGTATACAATATTCCTAAATTGTTGTGTGATAGAAATTGAAAAAATTTGAATTTAACATTGAAGAAAAGTAATTCCTAAAATAAACATATCTTAAACTAATTTTATTTTCAAATTAAAATTTAAGAAAAAAAAAAAGATAATAAAACAAACTCTTCGTGCATTCAAACATGATGCACATGTTGTGATACAAAGTGGCAATGTGAAGATGAGAGTTGCAAGTGCTGCAGCAAATGTCGCAAAGATACCAATGGATGCTAAAGTACGAATTCTTAAACCACATCTGTAAAAAAAAATAAAGAGTAAAATTAATGCATGCATGTATGCATGTAATTAGAGCTATATATGAGGCCACAAAATGTAATTTGACTTCGGATTTAGAATTGATTTAAAATCTAGCAATAGATTTAAAGATAAAAACAAATTTCACTTGCTCAATGAAAAAGATATTTTGAATCTTTTTAAATCATCTTTTTGTATTCTTTATAAAAATTTCAATTCTATTATCATGATCATTTCGATTGTCTTAATTGCTCTTAATCTTAATTGCAAACAAATCAAAAACCATCGAAAATATCTATGATAGGGATAGGTCACAAAATAGCATATATAAAGTGTATATAATTGCTACTAAATAATTTTCAGACCTTTTGTAAATTAGAATTGTTTTTGGTGGAGTGTGAATTTTTTTTAATTTTTCAATAAATTTCGAATAAGTAAATATCTTATCGCCATAGGAATATTAATCATACAACTGGAAATAATGGAGAAATTCAACAATTAAATAATTCTTCAATTTTAGCTTATTGCTATCATAGAATCTCCACCAAACACAAAATATCATTTCCTTCAACTTTTCCAATGAATTCTATGAAAATTAATAATTAATATCTAATTCAATAATTATTCAGATTCTATGATCAAGAATTAATAATTCATTATTTTTAGAAGAATATTCGTAGGGCGAAAAGAAAAACGAATTAGTAATTTCTTTCCTAATATCAAATTATTTTCAGAAGCGATCTATATTGCAAGATTAATAATAGCCAATATGGTAACTTTTATTTTGATTCCTAAATTGAATTTTAATCTGTCAACATATGATTCTTTGAAATTATTACAAATAGATATCTATGCGCAGAATATTAATAAATTTCGTTAAAGTTCATTCTATTTTGAATTTTGAATCTTTCTTGTTTCCCATTTTCCTTCATTATTCATATCAGATATATAATATTTAATTGTTGTTAACTATTTAAAGGATAGATTCTAATTCGAATTTAAGAATACATATTCATTCTTATCTTGTTAATATAAATAGATGAATTATCATTATAGAAAATTAGTATTGCTATATGCTTAAATTTAATTGTGATCAATTGTTCTATAATGAAAATAGCAGTACCGCAAATTACACGGCGCTTGTGCATTCTTCGGTATTCTTCCGTAAATATCACCAATGCATGCACCGTATGTAAAGAACGTAAAGTAAACTTTTTCACATTCATCTTCGCATCGCGATTTTGATTCTCTATTTGATTTCATAAAGTACCTGCAAATTACTCATTGATTTCTACATTTTTTTCTTTCGTTCCTTTTTTTTTTAGAATTACTCTTAATTTTTAGCTAAATTATTAGTGCCAACTTATTCTTATAATTGTATTTACAGCATATTAATTAATTATCATTTCTTAGTAAATATATCATTGTTATCAGTACCGTTATTAATAACATTTGATCTGATTGATTAAATATAGTTAAGCATAATATAATCTAAATTCCAATCGCTAATTTATAAAAGAAAATAATAAGAGGATATTAGAATAATCTCCAATAGTTGAAATAAATTAAAAATCTTTCTTCATTTACGGAAATTAGAAAATTTGTGGGAATTAAAAGAATCGTTAATTATCATACCAAATGGATAATTATGATAATAAAATATGTATCGAAAGGAATGAAAATGAAAGCACAAATTGATAATGATATTATAATTCTATTACTAACAGTATCATTCTTATTTTAAATATCACAGTTAATAGTTTTAGAGAAAAAATTTACAAATTATTAGTTTGATTGTTAATTGATTTATCATAATAAATTAATTTTTTTGATAATTAATTAATATTTTGCAAATATTTTTTTTCTTAAGTTTAATTAATTAATTATTTAAAAAAAATAATTAATTTATTAAACAAATGAAAGAATGATAAAAATTTTAGTGAAATGAAATAATATCAAATCATTGATTAGTTAATGCTCATTTGTTATCGAAAATAAAAGTTGTGTATAAAATTTTCAGATGATAACAATTGGAGGAAAATATATGACAATATGACAATATTTATTCATCTTATCATTTGCGCACATCAGCATATAACATATTTTGCGCATAACTAATTTTGATTTTTTCTTTCACATATCTAATTTGGTTAAACATTAGAGTGTAATTATTCTTAATAATCAAAATGTTTCTAATTATTTTTTACAATTTTTTTTTGATAATTAATTAATATGTTGCAAATATTTCTTTTCTTTCTTAAGCTTAATTAATTATTTTAAACAAAGAATTAATTTGTTAAATAAATGAAAGAATGATAAAAATTTTATTTAAATGAAAAATAATATTTAATGCTTCATTTGCATTGATTGATTAGTTGATTAATCATTGAATCATTGATTAGCTAATTAAATCATTAATTAGTTAATGTTCATTTGTTATCGGAAATAAAAGTTGTGTACAATATGATCGGAATATTTCTAATTATTTTCTATAATTTCATCGATAACAAAAAAAAATTGTATGATCCATCGTAATATCATACTTCTACGATTTTCCACAATTCTACAAATCATTGCAATCACTTGCAAAATCATAATTAAGAAATTAATTAATTATTTCTTTTTAATTTATTTCTTCCAGAATTTTTTCATTTACACGAAACATTGTCATATATAGAAATTATTGATTCAAAATTTAAATTATGAATGACTAAGATTTATTAAACTATCAAAGGTATTTCTTAAAATAATTAAGATTAATTAAGCAAAACTTCTATAACCAAAAGTATTATAGAAGTTTTTGTTTCAACCTGAATTAAACTCAAATCCTAAACATAGCATTCTAATGAAGCACATAAAAAATAATAGTTTAATATTTAAATAAAACAATAGCTTCTAAAAAATATATATTTGATAAATTATTTTGAATGATTAGAAAAAATTTTAATTTAAAATGATCGTTCCTAGAAGAAAAATTTTCATTTCCTGTAGAAAAATTTTATTTTCCTACTTGAGTAAAAGTAAATATCACGGCAGTTACAAAGGAATTATCAGTAAACTGGTTCTAAGAAGGAAAAAAAAAGTTTAATATTTTCAACAAACAAGTTTGTTAGAAGAAAGATTCCTATCTAAAATTATTTTTCAAAAATCACAAATTTATATTTCCCGCCATTCAACTTTTTCCTACTCAATGATACATGAAGAGAAGATGAAATTTCTCTCTCGGATCAACTTGATCTAATCTGTAATTCGTATGGATTAACTAATACCTTGTCTTTAAGTTAAATTATAAACTTTAACCTTTAAATATTTTATATGATGTTGATTGCGAGAATTTAAAGATATGATATATTGTGATATGATTAAAGGAAACTGAAGCAATCTTCCTTCTTGATTATATGATAGAGTTAGGGCTATTGTAAATTTAGCAATTCTAAAAGTTTGTTTTAATATCGCTTTTAGCGTAATCGATTTTTATGCATGTGAAAGAATATTTGAAAATTAATAATCTTTTGAGAATAAATATTTGAAAATTTTAAAATGGATATACTCGTATGTCTTTTTATGTCTCCCTAAATAAGATCACACTATCTTTTGAAGTTATATTTATTTTCATCGTTTAATATAGCTATAGAAATCGCTTCCTATTCAATGATGTTTTAAAGATATATTTCTAACTTTGTTAAATAAGAATAATAATGATAATAGCAGTGACAATAGCAATGATTACAATAATAATAATAATTTAATAACATAATTAATCATTGATAATTTCATGCTGAAGTTGTAAATAAATAAAGCGTAGTAATGTTATTCTTCTAGCTATTTCAATTTTCACACCTGCAACAATTGTCTACTAGACATAAAGCAAGCAGATAAAATCAATAACACTCTATATATCACTAAATTATCAAAGAGGAAGACAATATTGGAAGCAGTTTATTAAGATTCAAATATTGTATGTAAGATAGTACGTAATATAATTAAACCAATTTATTAGTGGACCAAGATATCTCGGGTATATATATATATATATATATATATTCAAGTTGTACCACACAATGTACTTCACTCAAGTACTTTAGACATGATGCTAATCTAATTTGATGATAGTTATCAACAGTATCAATTTGGTTCATATTTTTCCACCTATCAGTGTAAACTTACCCAGGAGCACATTTACATGTTTTTCCATCGAAAATTTCGTTAGCATTGCATACTGATTCCGTATTCGTAGTTGCGCTCGTCTCCGCAGATGTTTCCTGAGCGGATACAGTGGATGGTGATAGGATAATAAGTCCAACACAAGCGATCAGTAACAATCGCATGATAGCAATACTTCTGTGGGTGGCGGTAGTGGTGATGCAGCAGCTATTGCTCCTTCCTCCTACTATTGCTGCTGTTGTTGTTGAAATTGATGATGATGACGAGGATGATGATGGTGACACCATGCTGATTGCAAGTGGTGCATAACTTGGCTGACAGACAGAGAGACAGCGGTACTGATCGTAATTGTCAAGTACAGACTTATAAAACATTTGGAAGACAAACCAAGGAGATAGCGAAGAAATACCACTATTACCTTAGTTCAGATTCGTTAAACAAAATGAAGGCCGTCAGAATAGAGATTCAGGCGGAGCTGTCAGAGCATTTCATGGAAATTGTTTCCATGTCTTCATGTCTTTCTCATTTCTCCCATAAATAAAATTTCTGAAGGAATCTTGGGGATGAACAAACTTTCTTCCTCTCTTTCTCTCTCTCCACTTGTTCATTTCTCTATTTGTAAGAACATATGAGTTGGCGTTATTGGTATCATAATCATCACTGTAGTAGTAGTAGTAATAGTAGTAGTAGTAGTAGTAGCAGTAGTAGTAATCTTTGTTGTGATATGGCCAGTAATTGGTGAAAGAGAGGAATGTAATCTGAAATTTATTATGCGGAAATCTTATCCGTGAAACCGATAAACGATAGTTATCTCCGATAAATGAATGATATTTGCGCATTCTCTTCTTACCCATTTCTGCTTATTTCGGCTCTTTCATACGGATGGATAAACAAACAATTCATTAGTACTAACAACAACAACAACAACAATACACAAACAAATCAACTAAGATCATATTGAAATATGAACTTAAGTTCATGCCTGCCAGCTTACTAATTAAGCTGATTGATTTCATACAAAATTCGGAAAAATTATATATTTCAGAAGGAAAAAGGGAAACCAAATAAATGTGACTGGTAATGATGCGGAGAATTCGCGGGAAATACAATCAATCAATCAATCAGCTTAATTAGTAAATTGGCTATATAAATAATCGAATATTTCTATGATCCTTTCTCCTCCATTTCGAATGGAATGATTATATTAACGGGAACAACTATCTAGACCAATTTCCCAAACAATTTATATTACATGTTATAAATCATTCATTGAAATGATTCTTTTTTCTCTCAAAACTTTTTTTATATCTTCCGATAGTTTTATAAGAATAAAAATGCTTTCCACATAACCTTTGCCCTCAAATAATTCTCGAAATAACAAACAATTCAATTTATTTTTATCTTTGAATAAATAAGCGATCATCATCATCTCTTTCCATTACATAATTCATCCTACAATAGTTATATAAACATTAACACTTCGTTCAATTTTATTTCAATTTAAAAAATCAATAATTCTAATTAACCCTTTCGAAAAAAACACATATCAAATCAAATATGATAATTTATACTCTTAAATGATAATATATACTCTAAGGTTATCCAATGGTTTAATTTGAGGATCGGTTTGATGTAAATACAACAAAAAAATAAACTGTGTTCGTATGTGTGTGTGTTTGTGTGTGTGTGTGTGTGTGTGTGTGTGTGTGTGTGTGTGTGTGTGTGTGTGTGTGTGTTTGTATTGTATGGAAAGTGCAGTATGTAAAAATTATTGAGAACAAAAATACAAAATTTAAATTCATTGTTTGAAATTGCTGTTATCAAAACACTCTAACATAAATGATAATTAAGATAGTGATAAGTGAAGAGGAAGAAGAGAAGAATATTCACATTATCTCTATTTAATGATAAATCCTTCAAAATAAGGTCATTATCTTCGTTTACTTTTTTGTCGAAACTTATGATATTATTATACAATACAGTATGATATTGAAATAATCACATAATGCAAATGAATGGAATTTTCTGATTATTATCATGATTTATCATGATAATATCACGAATGTTTTCATTTGATATTCTTAATTTGTAAATTATTAATTATATTAATACGGATAAAAAGAAATGAATGACAAAAATTCCAATTTACGTTATTTTCAAAGTTCAATACAACCAGTAATCATTTTTTTTAATCCATCTGAATGACAACATTGGCGCCAGATAGGTACCTAATTAATTGATTGAGAAACGCTGATTGGAAATTGTGAAGTTTGGTAATTAATATAAGACGAGAATAATCAGAAATTCTTAGGCGAGAAGAATGATCATTCGATTGGTTATGCACGAGTTCATTTCAAATTTCACATTAAACTTTTGATAAAATAATGAAATTTCATCAGTGGAATTAATATTTTATATCAGCAATGTAATCAATATAAGTAAGAAATGCAGAGTAATTAATATAATTATTAATATGTCCTCATTTATTATAGAATTCCAATTTAAAGTAAATTATCGAATTCCAATTTGATGCAAATTGTAGAATTCCAATTTGATATAAATTATAGAATTCCAATTTGATGTAAATTGTAGAATTCCAATTTGATGATAATAATTGAATGATATTTGAAAGAGTATAAAATATGCATGGAATTAGAATTATATAATAAATAAATATATATTATTTGATACTTAAAAAAAAAGAGTCTTTTTTTAAAAAGTTTTTATCAATTATTTAATACTGAAATGTAAACTCATTATATATATAAATATTGCATTCCATTCATATTTTAAGAGGACATTATTATTGTTTATCCCAAATTGAAATTTGATAATAAATTTTGTTTATTGTTTATTCCAAGTAATTAAATTATAAATATGTGTGAAGTTTTAATTCGTATTTAAATCCTTCATTGAAAAATTCAAATATCTAAAAGTATAAAAAAATAATTTCGCACTTTTCTAAATCATCCCTTAGACCATCTTGAATCAGAAATATGATATTAGAACTATATGAACTGAAATGATAATTCTCGATAACTATTCGTAATCGAAATTCGTTTTATTTTTGTTATACCAATAATACTTACTCAATGTATTATATTATATCCTTTGTACATTGACCACAACAACCACTAATAAATTACGGTTACGGTCAATGTATAATGGACGGATATAGTTTTTTTTTGTATTCTCATGAGAAAACTAATTATTACAAATATTTTAATTATGATAATTTGATGATTAATTTATATACTTTGTTGAAATTATGTTCCATTTGAATAATTCATTCAAAAAATCTCAAATTTAATTACAATTGAGGTAAATTGAATTTAATTGCAATTGAGGAAAATTGTAATTTGAATTGTTGGATAAGAATGAAAAAGTAACAGAATAAATTACTACAATTAAAATGTAAATAAAAGTAAGCTATAAACTATTTGTAATTTTATCCGTTCAATGAAATGAATGAAAAAGATTTTCAGAAATGAATGAATTCATTTGTGCCAGCCATTCGTCAGTCACATTCATTCTAACAAACATTAATTTCAAATATTTCCTATCTGTAAAAATAGGCAAAAAGTTAATTTGAACAATGAAATAAATTTATCACATTGATGGAAATTTCATTTCAAACATCAAAATTTATTCTTTATTGATATTAAAATTCATTGAAATTTAAAATCCTAAAAAAAGAAGAATGCTATAAATTCAATTTTTCATCTTATTAATAATAATCCATTTCTTATTTAATTTTTCATGCATTTTTTTAATGTATAAAAATTTCCGAATTAAACCAATTTTCTTGTTCGACGACTATTCACAATACTGATTAATAACAATTGAAGAAAAATATTACATCAAATTCGGAGATTTCTAAATTTGATGTAATATTTCCTCGATCATTGAATTCTGTCTGTATCATATCATATACATATATATACATATATCCTGAAATAATGAAAAAAGACCTCATCTTCAAAGAAATTACCTAAAAACAAGCGAAAATTTTGCTGGTTCGGGATTGCACTCAACGATGCCTCTGATAACATCATCGATTGTTTTCCCTTTTTGTGGT